ATTTATGATTTTATCGAAAACTAAAAATCGATTATTTATAGTAATAATAACGAAGTAATCTTATTTAAATTGAAAGAGTAAAACTTGAGCCTAATTAACACTGCTACATATATGTTTGTATTTAACAATAATAAATGTTTGTATTTAACATTAATAAACAAACAAATTTTGATAAAAAATTAAATATTAAACGAAAATCTGCGAAATTGTTCTCATTAATTATGAGCAAGAAATTGTAGAGATGTATGTCGTAGGACACTCAAGTGTCAAATGTAAGAATTAAGAAAATATTTTCTATAACTCTTTTTTTTCAGTTCTCGAAAAACTTAAATTTTACGTCTGTTTACAAAGATATGCGGTACCATAAATGTAACGTAACAGTCATCAACATTAATATTGATTGCTAATAGTTCGTTCGTCTATTCGTTCGTTCGTTCGTTTGTCGTAACGTCGACGATCTCTCGATCGTTTTGATCGCCATTTCTTTAATAACACCATTAAGGCCCGCCTTGGAACGCGCACCACTACAAGCATCCTTTCTAAATCGACTCTGCAAACGCGTTCCGATCGGAATTGTCGAAGTTTTAGGAATACTCCAACTGCCTGCTGCCTCGAACTCTTAAGGTTTTTTAAATATGGTGGATATACCAGCGCTGTGCACACTATGAGCAGCTATGTGCAATTTTGCTTTCGCCTCCTTCCTCGCATTGCGAGGCGTAATGCTCGAAATGCATTTCGAGCTTCATTTTGAATTCAAGAGTCGTTTCAACCTTAATTCGCGAAAATCAACATTTCACCAGTGATTTTTGCACCGCGCAAATTCAGGATTGTAACGTCTGATTGGACTAATATTCTCGTAATAAGATGTGACTGCTATAAGTTTTGTTAGATCACGATCTAACAAATGGAATTTATTCTAATAATTTAATTGTGATCTTTCTTATAATAGCGTAGGTAAAAATCTGATTAAAAATGTAAAAAGTTTTCCTCATATTCAATTTTTGAATTCAAAATTAATCCATTAATAATTAATCTATTTTCTCTGCGCTATCTCGATCAGTTTTTCAGTCTTCGAATTATTTCATGAAAGTTATTTTACTTTGTCAATAAACTGTATTTCTGCTATGAATATAAATTATAAAGCGCTATTTCTTTTTACGTGACTTAAATAATTATTACTACAAGTGTGTCACACTCAATATAACTTGGAAACGTACAGCAGAATTTTGCTTATCGCGACTATTAAAGTGGATTCCCGCGATAGATTCTATTTTAGTACTATTGTAATGCGCACGCGCGTGTGTGTATGTAGGTCATCCATACGCATTGTAACATTTTAATGTTTTAGATTTTATCATTATAATCTTTTACATATTTTTCGTAAGCAACTATTTTTAGTTACAGTTTATTTGTAATTATAATTCATAAAAAAATATTATATTATCGATAATATCACAGTTTAAAAACGTATAAATTATCTTATCGAAAATAATCTTATCTCGATAAAATATAGGATTTCTGTCACAATTTTTAATTTATTTTTATAGATTTTTACATTTTATTTAAATTTTACCCAATAAATTGTGTTAATCTTAATTAAAATTATAGAGAAAAAAAATTTCAATAAATTTAATCTAAAAAAATTTATATTTAATATTATAAAATATATGAAGACACATATAATATAAATCATATACATTTAAGATAAAATTTTTATCTAATTGTAAGTTACATTTTTTTTATTTTTTTCTCACATTGTCGAAGATAAACCTTCGCCTTTGCACTGCGTTTCGGGACACGGCAAAATTTTGTGAATCGATAAAACTGAGATTAGCATCAATTAAGGTCTATCAAGCGTCATTTGAATAAAAATGGCTCGCCAAAGGCTTTTGAATTTAAGCAAGTTCAAGAGGCATTCACCTGGCAGTGGAAGCTTCGTGTACGACAGGCCTAATAAATTTTAAATGCCCGGGGATTAAATGCCGGAGCTTGCTCGCCACTTGATCCACTGGCAGGTATCGCGGCAGAAGTCTTGGCGCACAACAAAAACCTCGTTGAAAAGAAATCAGTCAAGTGTCCTCTCGAAAGATGGTAGCTTTCGGACGAAGTAGTTGCTATTGAGTAATTGCTACAATTGTTTGCAAGCGCTGTTGGTGGTGTTTACACAAATAATAATCTGTGTATCGGAATTGAGTTATTAAAAATTTATATATCGAATATATCTATTATATATTGTAAACAATACCATTATTATTTTGAATGTTGTTATTATAATTATTAGATCAGTAAGCTAAAACAGTTAAGAAGAGCTTAAAATATGAAAGCATACATCTTCGAAAGAATGTCAAAAACAGCGCTGCACGTGATGAACAAATTTTTATACGTATCGTATACATAACAGCGATGTTCGAAAAATTTTGAAAAGGGTCGTTTTTTTTCATACGAGTGTTGACAGGTCGCAACCCTCCGACCAGTTCGTGAACCGGCAAAGGTGGCGGCGAACTCATCGATTTTATTCATGAAGAATATTACGTTACATATTCAGCAAGTTACCGGCCGACTGTTTCAAGTTTCTGCGGAATCACCGATGGCTTTTTGCTCCGAAAACACGATGTACGGAGCGCAACATAGTTCGCGCTATGCGCGCCCGGCGCAAATAAATTCTCCCCGAAAAAACGAAATCCAATACGGAGTCCGAAACCCCGCGTTATCCCGGTGGCATCGATCCCCATGCGCCATGCATCTCTCGTTTCGACGGTGACTTTCGATACTGCCGCCACCACCGCCGCGGCCGCCGCCGCCGCCGCCGCCCTCGCTGGTCGCGTTCGCTGGCCGGCGTTATTATTCCGCAAGCCCGGTAATAACCAAATTAACGCTATACACGAATTTCCGATGCGGCGCACGTAGTTGTGCGCGGCTTACACCGACAGGGCGACCTGCAAGCGTAAGCGTCCCGAAGTTCGGTATCGCGAGCTTGCCTCGAGCGATCCAATGCTGGGCTTTGGTCCTCGCCCTCGCTCGTTCGCTCTCTCTCTCTCTCTCTCTCACACACACACCCTTTTCCTCCCTCTTCCCCCTCCCCTCCTCTCTCTCTCTCTCTCACCCTTTTCCTTCCTCTTCCCCCTCCCCCCCCTCTCTCTCTCTCTCTCATGCATGCATATCCCACGTTTCTCCGTTCTCGTCTATGGCAACATAGACGGTGTAAGCGAGTTTTGGTCAGCGTTCAAGGAACTCGAATCGACGAGCGCTATCCACTACGCCAACATAACTACTCGTGTGTGCTACACACGTGGAAATTCATGTGTGACCAACGGATAAGTTCTTAACGACCCTTCACCTCGGTACCGCCACCGCCGTCGCGCCAGTTGCATGTGCAGTGAACTGGTCGTGCAACTGGCTGCGCAACAGTTCATGGATTCTTAACGAATGCGTCGCGCGTTCAGATAAGGATCAAGATTGATAGAAGAGACATGGTGCTATTAGGAGAAACCCTATTTATAATATTTTACGAGATTCTGATATCGCTAAATGTATTAATCTCTCTACGTCACATATTACGTTAGAGATAGATTCTATATAATATCGCTTTTTTTTTTGTAACTTCGATGAACTCAGTTTTCGATATCGCATATGAGTAGGGGAGACCGGGGCTATTTGGGACACATACGGGGCTATTCGAGACAAAGGAAATATCTCTTTATGGGTACATGTTAAAAATTCACCGTAATTACTGTGAACGTATCCTAATAAAGCAATGCTGCTGACAAAGTTTCGTTGGCGTCGTATTGTTGTCGTAGCAATGAAAAATATATTTCATGGACAGTAAAAGTAAACTCCGACATCCTGTGTTTCGCACTAGTCGACATTTTTATTTATAAGTTCAAAGCAAGTACAATTCCGTGATCAATCTATAACGGCATTATGAAGGGTAAGGTTCAACTTTTCAAACAGTGTAACACATTTTTTTTTATAAATACAGAATTCAGGAGAAGTAAAAGAATAAAAAGTGTCCCAAATAGCTCCGGTCTCCCCTACGCAAAGTAGAACTTGTCCCGATTGTCGCGTTTCGTTTATTTCGCATCATAAATAAACACAAGAATCGTGTGCAACCGTGTGCAGATATTCGAATCTGAATTCAGCGAAGTTATATTATAATTATTTATCATATATTATGATTATATATTATATATTATAATTATATTAATATTAATGAGTTATATACTATTCATTGATTATTGCTATATTAGGATATTTTAAATTATAGATGCAAGATGACGAATGCCAAGCTCCATTAGTATTCTATTTTCTTTTTGAATTAATAGAGCAATTTGTTATCAAATGGGATGGAAAAATTGCACTTTCATGGTACGCTGTAATGAATAATTAGTTGCGCCCGGTTCTGATAGCTAGATAAAGTGATTTGAAGATTGAAGTCGAGATGGCGTAAAAATTCATACCATCTTTTATTAGGTTCGTAATTATTTGCAAAAGTTTTTTTCTCGTTTAATGCGTTTTTGATTACTTTTTTTGCATATTTCATCTATTTGGATTTCATTTCAGGATTTCAAATATTTTAATAATAACTTATTAAATAAACAGAGTTTAATTTTTTGACAAATTTATAAATGATATAAATGGCGCACAACATACACATGTACGTACATTTGTTACGTAACAAATTTTCCAATATTTGAGGGAAAATTATAGTAACAAAGATAATATTATGTTACACAATTATTGTAACTACCAAGCGGTGTAAAACTGTCAGAAAATATCATTCCCGCGATAATAGGCACACACAATGAAAATTAATGGGAATAACGAAAAAGAGGCAATAATAAAAAAAAAAATCTCGAATTTCGATAATTTTTTTTGTCGACGTCAATTTTCTGTAAAAACGATTCTGACAGACAACAGTGTTATTTCGTCGGCTTATTCGATATTCCAGGCTTGCCCCCGACGGTTTTTCTAACAGAACGAACGCGACTATTCCGTTGCAGAACTCAACTCGACATCGCCATCGACGAGCGAGCTCGGCGACCTCGTTGACGAGGCCGAGAGCGACGAGGCGAACGCGGACAACGCGGATGACGAGGATGCGGTCGAAGACATCCTTTATATGCGCGGTGCCACCTTCACGATACATCTGGATGCCCCAGCCGAGAATTCCACCGTGAACGCGACGAAGATAAACGAGGCGAACGGCGCGGACCGGATCGAGCTGCGCGCCACGTCTCAGGTAACATTATTCGCCATATTTTCCGGGTTAGCTTGTCGTATTGCTCCTGTAAGTGTTTGCATTTTGTTCTCTGCGATCATTTGTTATGTAGGATTCCAGGGGGGCGTTCGGTGAAAAATCTAAGGTCTTTGATCTATAATAAAAATACGATAAGACGATGTCGGGGCAGCTATACTGTTTTATTTGAGCAAAGTACATCCGCGATGTGTTAACGTTAAATGCGATTAACAAGTCTTGGATTTTATTAATCTTGTTATTAATCAATGTAGTGTACCTACATAATGTAGTAGTTTTTTAATGTCATGTGTTGACAATTATTCATTATATTATATTTTATCAATGTTTCTTTGATACAAAATTTAATAAAATATAATTTAAACGCGGTTGTTTGAGGTAGCATATATTTAGCTTTGTATATGTACTTTAAGATTTGACTGATCGACACGATTGTGAATACGAATTCCAACTTATTGTTAGTTCTATTGATTCAGAGCAAATATTCGATACCGTACGTAGGAATAGTCAATATCGCAAGAGTTCACACTAACTGCAAAGATTTAATTGATCGATATGTCCACGTGCCGTCACTGTTCGCACTAAATGGAGAGAAATCGATTGAACATTGTCTTTGGGTTAAGCACTCCAGAATAGAACATTCCATAAAGGGACATAAATGGGTATATGTGTCTATGTGCGAGGTATAGAAATAGCGATTACATGAAATCGGGCACAAAACCGGAATGTTCTCCACTGAGGAATCTTCCTTTGAACTAGAATTAATATACCCGATACACCTAAAGTAATGTAAAGTTTTGTATGACGAGATTAAGGATTCGATCCGATTGATTGTTGATGTTAAAGAATATAAGATTTTGTATCTATATCGTTTTGCACCGCGTGCAATGAGTTCACTTTTTAAATATTGAAATGTTTCCTTCTATCGCAACGACAGCAAAATTAAATTAAAGGTGAAATGGAGAGAGATAAACATCGATATAAGTTAATTTATTATTTTACTAAAATGTAAAATGTATATCAACTGATAGAAATTAACCGAAATTATTGCAAATGAATATTAACATTGTGATTGATTACGCGGGATCATTAAAATTTAATAAAATTGAATTGACACGGAAATTTTGATGACATCAAATTAACACGCGCTGTTTGATCAAACCGATATAATGTGTGAACTCAGCCCTTTCTCGGGTAATTTTCCTTTTCCGAATAAGTAAATAAATGTAATATTTCGCAAGTCTCGGCATTAAGCATAAGAAATTCGCAGCTTCTCTAGGCCAATCTTTATTCAAAAGCCTCCTCAAATAAAAAACATGAGTCGTGCAACAGGTACTTCACATCCGTTGCAGCTTCCTTAACATGCAGTAGGTTACCCCATTATTTCTGAAAATTTCTTGGCCCTGAATCGACAACAGCAAGCAGAGATCAATAAATGATGAGGCGGATGTCAGAAAACGGGTCAACCCATAAATAATATTCTCTTCTGATCTTCTCTTTGGCTGCTTACTCATATATAATACTTTCATCACATTGTTATGCTCGAAATTATGCGAAAAACACGCCTTTACAAAACTTTCTTTAACCTATCTTTTATTCAAGCATATCAAGCATATCTTTTGTAAAATTTTTTTATTTAAGGTATAAATTGATATGACATTTATGCTTCACAAATGACGCTGTTTCCTTAAAGTTAGTTTCTTAATTTAATAAAATTTTTTAATACATATGCATCATCCAGTTTTCTCAATTATTCTACTTTGTTTCAAGATATATTTTGCTTCTACTTTTTTCAATGATTCACTGTATTATCATTTATAAATACACGCGCGTGTGTGTGTGTGTGTGTGTGTGTGTGTCGTGTGTGTGTATGTCGTGTGCCTTATATATATGTATATAATAGTCCGCAGTGTATTGAGCTCGGGTTCGTGGGTTTGCTAAGCCCAAATGACTGTGCGGATCAGTCATCCCTGCGGGAAAATTATGCTTGTTGATGCAGACAGGTTAATTATGATAAATGTGGTACTTGACACTCTGTTAAATACGGTATTGTGAATATTTCCGAATGATTTAATTGAGAAACGTAATTTCACAATTTAATGACATGTGTCAAAAGAGGATACTACAACATAAAATTACAAAAGGGGGTAGTTGGAAATAAATAGTTAAAAATGTTGCAATGTTGCAATTACTTTGAATTCTAAACGCATAGAAACGTAAATAAGCATAACAGAAAATTGGTTTCTTTTCTTTGGCTTATTCAGTTTCTTCTCCACGTTAAATCCCAATTTTTATACGTGCAAACCGATACGGAGCAATCCAATATGAAACCGGTGATGACATTTCTTGTTCCCGTGGATATTCAGGGCCCAAATCTGGAGCAAAAACTGCCATCCACGATGGAGAGCATCGTGAGCACTGAGCCAGCGTGTTCCTTGGACTGCGGACCAGCTGGAAATTGTTATATCGAGCAATCACGCGGAGATGAAGTCGATGTGATCGAAGAAGAAGACGACGACGATGACGACGACGACGACGGTGCCGTGGATCTCGAGGGCAATACCGTGAACCTCAGACGGAAGCACGGAACATTCAGGCAGAGATGCCAGTGTCCTCTCGGAAGAGGTGGAGATCGTTGTCAGCTCGGTAAGTGATATTTTGTTTTTTTTTATCTTATCTCTTCTTTGTCTTTTTATCTATTCCATGAATAATATATACAAGGATTTTCGCGTTGGTTAAATAACAAATTTGCATTTACAATGCCCTGCGTCGAAAAGAAAGGCGAGAAAACGTCGTGTGTCGAGATACTGATTTTATTATAATGTTTTGCTTCGAGAAATTCATTCCTTCAAAAAGCGGTATTTCCACGAAAGGGCAGAAAGTAACGCTATCAAATGTCGCGCGCAAATCTTTTATCTGTCGTTCCCTCGTACAACGTTTATAGATGGAAAGAAATGTATTCAGAAACGTGCAAAGTTAAGCTCAATAAACAAGTAAGATCGACGCGAGATGTCGACGAGTGATTCTTTTCGCGAAAGTAAACTTAAGATGGAAGGGCGGTCCTGCGACCGACGAGGTTCGAAGAATTGAAAACTTGCTCATCATCGGTCGCCCCTCTCCCTCCTCTCCTTCAGCCCCTCTGCTTTGTTCCGCGCAAAACTTACGGCATCTAAGTCGAAAGAGTACTGTTTTCGCCTCGAGGTCCCGAGAGTTCCCCTGCATTCGAGGCGATCAGATCTGTTTGCACCTGGTTGCTTTACGGAAACTCCCAGGAAGCTCGTTCGTGCGGGGCGCTCCCGGTAATCTCAAACTTTTAACCCTTTGAGATGCCCGCTGCGACGCGCGCGCGCGCGCGCTGTCCGGCGAATAACGTTAAACGCTCTCGAAGATCTCTCGGAGATCCATCGTCACGTCACGGAAATGTAAATTGCCGATGGCGTACACACGAGTGGAAGTTTGCCATCGTGCCATCAGCCATCTTGAATCACGAGCATCGAGACGAGATGAGGAGGAATTACTCGAACGCCTCAATTTAAGCTCTGCACACAAATGACTCTCTGTTAACGACTTGTTCGTTATCGTTAAGATATAAAACACCAATTCTGCTGTTATCGGTTTGCCGTAACTTTCAGAGACGACGAAAAATTAAATTAAACAATTAAACAGCTGGTTGAGCGCGATTCATAGCGCAGAAGAGATAACAAAGTCGGGATCGATAACAAAGTTTCTGATGACGTATGAACCTGTCTCGTCGAGTTTTCGCGATCATAGTGTACAGGAATTGTTCACTTTACTTCCTTTCCTTCTATTATCGTAATTCGATAACAGTAGAATGACACATTACAAACTTTCAAGACAACGCTTTATGTAACGATAATCCCCCAATCAATACTGTAGGTACTTCCGATACTTGCGATTTCCAAACGAATGAAAACAGAGATGCTTATTTGAAAAAAAGTCAATACCTACATCAGCATTATCAATATCAAACCAATAACTGGACTGATTCACCAATTTATTGACATTTTATAGATAACAAAGCGAGACAATACGTAGCGTCAAGACCCATCCAAATCTACTGTAGATATCAATTTTCGAAATTTCGCGTTTAACTAGCACGCGATAAATAAAGAAAGATTATCTTCGCAGCCGAATAAACGAATAAAACATACATTCCTTGTCTTATCGGCCATGTATCGATCTTCGTTTCCGCCGAAAACTATAAGCGTTCGAAATGTACGGATTAAGCTGCTCGATATTCGGTTTAATCTTGCAGAGTGGTTTATATTGCATCATGGGATTGCACGGGATTAAGCGGCAGAAAAATTGCGAGGGGAGATCGATGGTTCGTAGTTTGAAGTATGTTTTACGCCTCAATATTTGAGTGTTTTATCGTGCAGTTTCCGTATATGACGCGGATCGATGCAAGAATTATGATATGGCAAACATTCATCTAGTTCTCTCACGACAAGCGGTACAATGCGATCGCTTATCCCGAAATGATTAAACTGAAACGATACCTCACAGCGGTCTAATTAACCGCAGCCGCATTAAATTTGCATCAGACTGATTTCTTCATCCAAGACGTGATGTAAAATATATATTTGAATTTTTTTGCGGATTACGATAAAATATTTTGAAATGTTATGCATACAAAATACAGTTATTATATACAACGTATAATTAAAAAAGAAGTAGGTCATAAAGCAAATAAATACATGCACGGGCAACGTACACGTTTTCGTTTTTATTCATCGCAGTAAAAATATCAATAATACGTAAAAAGATATTATCATTGTTTGCTTTTTTAAATTAATTTATTGCTGATGTGATTGGAGAATTACAGAAAATTCTGAAAAAAATATATGAACGGTAAAGAGTTGTACATTGTACGAATTGTATATTATAATTCCTTGTATACGTTGCGTGGCTACGTTATTGATGCTAGTTCCGAGAATGATGGTGCTTACAAGTATACACAACAGAAAGCAAATGCTTTGTAGTAAAAGCAAAAGATTATTCATACGAAATGTCGGATATCCTTTCACTTTATACATTCGCTTCATGCTTTCGCATCTACCTTTGCTAAGAGCGCTTATTCCGCTTTTATTTACGCGAGTCAATAACGCTTCTGCTTAGTATAAGCAGAGTTAGAAATCCAGCCGACACAGTGGAAATGAAGTAATATAATAAAAATTAGAAGGGAGTAAAAAAATAATTATTATATATTAAATATTAATAATTAAATATAAGTAATTATTATATTAATAATTATTTTTTTACCCCCTTCTAATTTTTATTACATTACTTCATTTCCACTGTGTTCGGCTGGATTTCTAACTTATATTAATAATTATTTGTTTACCCCCTTCTAATTAATATATAATATTAATTAATCGTTAACGGCATAATTAAAATAAAATATTAAAAAGCTATATCTTAATATTTCATAACATCATGTTTGTGTAATATATTTTTACGTATTTTATTTATTCGACATGCGTATTATACATTTGATACTTAATATATTTTAATTTATTACAATTAATTTTCTAAATATTTTAAATAGCGCTCTACTAAATAAATAAAATTTTTTTCAATGAGAAAATAATTTAAAGGAGCTTCTACAGAACTGTTATGCATATTTTATATTACACATTTCTTGTGCTCTTATGCGCAACGTAATAATAAGCGACAACACAATAATTAAATTGTATTGTTGCCTTTCTCTCGTTGTCTGTTACTAATACAGCAACAACTGTAACAACGTCGGATTTTCACGACACATGCACAAATCAAACGTCCACAATTTACACGGCAGGCATTTTGATTGCGAGCGATACCTCTCTACATTCGTACTCTGAATGCATCGTGTTACAAGAGGCTTGTTTTATATTGACCTAGTACAGGATTATTCGCCACCTTGTTATTCGGCGTGGCCAAATTAAGCCTCGCTGAGCGGCTTGGGGTAAAACCACGAGGTGGGCGTTGCCTGCCAGTTAATTCCGCTTGCGAAGGTTTAAAGCAAACGCGACCTGCAAACCGAGTCGTCCTCGTTGATTCTCTGAGCAAGATCTAACGAGCTTAATTTATTTTATCAACGACGCCCACTGCACACCGCGCTCTCGGTTCCCGTTTATACATATAAATATTTATTCTTCCGAATGCGAGTACGCCCGTTGTCGGCAAGAAATCCAAACTACGAATATTTGCGCATTAAAAATATTGACCGTCAGCCTGGAGTCAAAAAAACGGCAAATGCAATACAATCAGTATAGCAGATACTGATAAACTCTGGTAAAATGCATCAGTTACGAACCTGTAACATGTTTTTAGGCGATCGTGGCGCAGAGAGTTATGCGTCTACTTTCTGTGCCGAAAACCCGGATTCAAATCCGATCAAAAATATCGAATTTTTATTTGATCGCCACCTCTCGGAAGGCAATTGCAAACCATCGAGAGTATATCTTGCCCCTCTAATTAGGGCGTTTGAAACTAGCGTTAAAAACTGTAAGTCCCGTATACCTGTGTAAATTGTAAATAACGAACACCACAGAAATAGGGTGTTGAGGGTGTCATGATACCCGGATCATGTTAACAACTAAGAAGAAGAAAAAGAACATGTTTTTACAAAATGAGTCAATTCGAATAAATTATTAAGTCTGTACATCAATTATTGTCCAACTCAATTTTGTTATTCACTTATAGTAAAAATTTCTTTACGTAAAAATAAAAATATTGAATTGGCGGAAAGTTTGTTCTTTTTTTTTGTATTTATACTGATGTCAGTAAAAACGGAACAAACTTTCCATTTGATTTAAGATAGATAAAAAATATTCTACATAATATTCTAAAAGATATATGTTTGTAAGATATATATTTTTATGATATTCCAAAATTGTCATAAAAGGATACAGCAGGATTAAATTACATCTTGCTTCTAGTTTTTAATCAGAAGAAAACCGCAAATGAAATGTCAAGCTTAAGTAATAATAATTACGTTTGCAAATATATATATACCGCAATTAATTACGCCGCGGGAATATTCGCTCGTAATAAATCACGTATCGCAGAATTAAGATCGGCAAAACAATGGTCTGGCAGAACGGATATTTAATAATGATAAATTTCACGCGTTATCCAAATAATAAATGTGAAAGCGAAACGTAAAATGTATAAGGATAAACTGCAATTTCTTCTACTATTTAAACGCGAAAATAGTATCTCCGACGGCTTAGCACGGAAACAAAAATTTACTTGCAGCTGCCGTCGAGACGTAACTTCAGGCTGCTACATTTTAATAGTGATACATTATCCGGACTTTTAATATTACAAAGTGCAGCTCGGTAATTCCGCATCATCCGTCCGCCATCGCGGAGGTGTGAGAGACGGCGGCTTTGCTGTGATTTATGTCACGGTTGAAGCTGCGCACGCGGCGCGATGAGCGGAAGAATTATTTTTTCGCAGCTGCCGCCCTTCTCTCTTCCTCGTTACAACCGGACATAAATCAACGGAACTTCCGTGCCATTTTAGCCAAAACCGGAATCCGCTTCCCGGACAATAGCGTCATATTATCTACCTTTTTATAATATTTTGAATGGCGATGAGGAGTATGCCGAGAGAATGCGTTAATTACTTCACACCGG